GAATTGATGGGGACCTCAACGAAGAAGAACCTCCAGCAGACGTTCCTGTATTTTGCAGATCTAATTGCCTGAGGTCATCTGCACTATAGATGCTGTTGGTTGTGTTCAGGCCTGTTCCAGGGTTCTCAGTCCTTCCTTTCACATACTCAATTTTTGGTATCCCCTGAGGAGATGAAGCGAGTTTGGACTGACCATCTCTGGCTCTGAAATCATCCGTCTTAGCACTCTTACTCTGACATACTGCAGGCTGCATGGAAACTTGCTTGTCTTTTGGTTTTCCCCATGTCTGCTGCAGGTCTGCCAGCTCCCCACAGCCACACTTCATTTCACCTGTTGGGCTCGCTGTTGGGCTGCCAGTGCCATTCAGGAGAGGCAGAAGTGAATCTTCAGAAATGACCAGCGATGGTTTATTTTCTAGCTCTGACTTCAGAGTCCTTGAGGCTGCTGAAATGCTCTTGCTAGGATCAGGGTTTGTAGGTGAATTACGGGACAATGGTGCTTTCTTCCCCAGGAGTTTAGGGGACAGCTGTGGAGAAACAGAAATCTTTTTCTGATCTGCCCCACTGCCTTTGGTAGGATTAATGCCAGAAGAATCTGAATTTGCCTTTGTTTTGTTTTTAATGGTGAACCCTTTTAGCTTTGGTCCTGCTTTGGTCTTCTGATTATTTAAAAGGGTGTCCATTATACCTTTTTGTGCCATTCCCTTAGACTCCTGACAGGATTTTTTCTGCGAGGATGGGCTGTGCAGTACTGCAGCTCCTTTGCAGTGATTTGTGCCTGAGTTTTGGACTTTTCCATTCAAAGTCCTTCCTGAAGTCACAGAGTTAATTTTCTCATTTTTCCCTGGCAAGTCATGAGTTGTGTTGGCCTTTGGATCTTTAGATCGAGTGGGAAAGGGAGACCTGAGTGATATTGCTCTTGGTGATGTTGCATTTACATGATTGCTGTCTGTTTTAGACGAGCTGGACAAACTGTTGGTTTCTTTCTTGGCTATGCAATAACTAACAGGATGATTAGAGTCATCAACCCCTGTTTCACTTTCAGATTTGGATCTCTGCTCATCACAATATCCTTCCTTCTCAAGCAAGTTGTTCTCCAAGCCACTGACATTTCTAGCAGAGCAAAAGCTTATCTTTTTGCAGTGCAGAGACCCTCCCTCTTCACTGGATTCACTGCATTTCATATGTCCGTTACTGCTCCCCAAATCTATCTGTTCTTCTGTACTTAAGGCACCATTGTTACAGAAAGAGTAAACTTCAGGGATGCTGACTGAATTCTTTAGGATGTCTTTTTCTGGCAAGAAAACTGAGGAAGGAGGACACAAGGATGCAGAGGACACATCTGAACACTGTGAGGGACACCAAGTGGGAGCACCATGATCCTCCAAGCCCAGTTTGCTGATGCTCGTCCCCAGTGACCCGCACGTTGCGCAGTCCTCCGTCTGCAAGCTGTTGCCACTGTAAGGGTGCAGCGAGGACACAGAGGACGAGCTGGTGGCAGATGCCAGATGCTGCTCCTGTGCGGGCTTTGGCGGCTCATCGTTCGTGCAACAAATCTCAACTTGCTCCTCATCCGACTCCACCACAGCAGGGACTGCAGGGGCATTAACCGCAGCGCAAGGCCCAAGCAACACCTCGTTAGCACTGTCAAAGGTTTCTGTGACAGACTCTGTATCCGAGTGAGAATCCTCCGCAGCCCCATACATAGACTTCGGAAACGGGTCGCTTCTCTTACTTTCCAGAGAGTTTGCTGCAGGCAACTCGTCCTGATTTAAACTGCTAAAATTCCTAGAATAGTTACTTAGAGAGTTTTTATTCACAGTAAAAAGTTTGCCTGTGTTAATGGAGTCCAACACAGACAGCCCCAAAACCCCCTGCGCACTGGGCTTTTCCCGCAGCTCTTCCCGCAGCTCCTCCTTGGCCAGCCGTGGCTCGGAGCCGGGACAGCCTTCGTCCGTCCCGCAGCAGCACATGGTGGTGTACTCGTCTCGGAGGGGGCTCTCCGCTCGCGATGGGGTGCGGGAAGCCCTGCTCTCGGGAGCACCCATTTGGCTGAGCAAGTCGTCGATGTCGGTGA